AATCAACGAAATTGCATCTCTCTCTCTCTCTCTATATATATATATATTAAAATATATATTAATTAATACTAATTCAAGATATAAAATATGTTTAAGAAAAAAAAATATAAAAATATTTTTAAAAAAATTACAAATTTTTATTAATTGACGAAAGCATCCGTCCAAATTCCAATCAATTATTATTATTATTATTATTTTAATTAATTTTGTATCCACCCTGTACACATTCACACTTTTAATTTAAAAAATAAATAAAAAATTTAACTTAAAAAGTACAATCATTATCCCCAAAAAAAAACACACACGACATCAACAATCACGTTTTTTATTGGGTGTTTTGACCAGTCCCATCTCCCAGACAAATGTGGTAAAAAAAAAAAAAAAAAAAAGCAGTAAAACACAGACTGTAAATTTTTCTTCATTTCGACGAGAGGTTTGGATACCGTGCGCGCCGCTTAGACAGAAATACACTACACCCGTCCTTTGGGCATATTGTGGGGCAGTACATGATCTCATCGCAGCCGTCCGTTCGGTGGCGCTTGAAATCAAGCAGAGTGCAGAACATCGCGATGAAGAGCACCAGATGATTTAACGCATAACGTTGGCCCACGCACTGGTGGGACCCGGCTCCGAAAGTCAAGAAATTTTTCTTGTACAATTGGTCTTCCCGTCGGTCCCCAAAGAAGCGGTCCGGGTCAAATCGGTCCGGGTCGGAGAACCCTTGAAACGATGACTCGTAGACGGAAGGGAAGACAACCGCTCCTTTCGGAATCGTGTAGGATTCCGTCAGCGGGAAATCCTCCATTGCAATGTGTGGCACCAGAGTAGCCGGCGGCCGGTATCTCAAAACTTCACGAGCCACCGCCTGCGTGTATGTCATCTCCCTCAGCTGGTCCGTTGTAATCAGCTCGTCCGACTCCGGCGACCAGACTCTCCCCGCGTCCTCGCGCACCCGTTTGAGCACCTCCGGGTGCGAGTCAAGTAACGCCACTGCCCACAGCAGCGACGACGTCGATGCGTCCTGCGCCGCAAAGAGGAAGTCGAACAGAAATCCACCGGTTTCCTCATCGCCGGAGTTCGATGGCGGGGATTCGCCGGCGGCTTTAGCATTGGCGATTTCTTCGACAGTACCCTGCATCCAAAAGTCAACGAGGCAAGTGGCTTCCTCGCCGGCGGCCATCCGGGCCTTGCTTGCCCCTGCGCAGACGGCAAGAGTCTTGACCAGTCTGGTAACGGCACGACGCGCATTTCCGAAAGCAAAGCCCGGGAAGTCAATGGGAAGCTTCATGCTGCCGACGTTGAAAAGATTGTAATCGACCCGAAACCGGTCTCTGGCTTCCTTGGTCAAATAGGGACCGACGAAGACAGTCTGGGAAGTTTCGAGATTGAGGTCGCGAACGAGGAGACGGAGGGGGATGGGCTGAGAAGGAGACTGTGAGGAAACGGATTCCCAGTTCTTGAGGTGGCGGAGGATGATGATTTGCTGCAGGTGGGTGTAGGTGGAGAGTGCTTTAGGAGTGAAATTCGGAGCAATCCGACGGCGGATATCCTTGTGATCCTGACCAAACATGTAGATCAGGTTGTGCTCGCCAAATAGTTTCTTCCCAAAAGGATGACCCACAAGGTGAAAACCATCGGGTCGGACATTGGCGAAGACGAGATGGGAGAGTTCAGTGTTGCGGAGGAAGACGGTGAACTTACCGGCAATGTAGTTGGCGCAGTAACCAGTGGTGGCGGCGGTCGCGGCTTCCTTGAACCAGAAGGTAGTGGGGTCTCGAACCAAAGAGAGGGCGTTGCCCAAGAAGGGGAAAACAAGGATTGGACCGGGCGCGTGGCGTTTCTTGCGCAGGTAAGAGATCTGCTCAATCAAGAAGAGGAAGAGCAATGCAGTGAACAGGTATGGAGATATGGAGTAGAGAATAGAGGAGATGGTTTCCATTTTTTGTTGTAAGGATGATGAATTGATAATAAATAAACAAATAGGCAAGAAAGGGAAAAGATTGGTTTTAGATTCAGTGGCAGAGGAGAGTGGACTCTTCTTTTCTGGTCAATCTCTGCTGAAGAACAGAAAAGAAAAAGAGATTGATAATGGAGACAGAAAAAAGAAACAAGAAAGAAGAAGTTGTTAAGAAAGAAAAAAAAGAAAAAGAAAAAATTGTTAAATTGGAATGGGGTGTTGCAGAAGGGATGACTGGAGTGGGGTATGAATCCAGCTGGTAATGGGGGAGGATGACGAGCAAGACAAGAGTTTTGATGTTATTTATAAAGGTGGGAAAATCTATATATATATATTTTTTCAAATATATATATTGGTTTTTATAAATATTGTTTAAAGAAATATTCATTTACTCATTTTTCACCCTTTCCATTATTGTAGTGGGGCCAGCATGACGGTTGTGTATATAAGTGCGTATACATATATATGTATGTATATATATATATATATATATATATATATATAGTTGGAAAGGAAAAAGGAGCAGGAGAGGGTGTGAGAAAAGGTGCATGGATGTTGGAATTTGGGGTTAGTTATTGTTTCCAGAAAACAGTAAAATTCAGTCTAACTGCCACACCTACTTCCTCCTATATAATACCATTCCTAGATACGCTTACATCTCAACCCTTAGAGATCTATTTTAACAAATCCTAGCCGTTCAAATCATACTCATTTTGGCTGTCTAAATCTTAAAAACCGAACAAGTTCGGTACGTCCGAATTGGTCCTCCATCTATGAGATTTAAGTATCAAGAGTCTAGTCTATTTCAGTTAAATAAATTTAATATATATAATAATAAACTAAAATATATACACACACACACACACATGTACAAATATTTTAAAAAAATAAAAAAAGGGTCTAAAAGTAAAAGGAAAAGAAATCCAATCTTGGGTACATGCAATCTCTCACTATGAACAGTCAAGCACCTCAATTTCAACTAATTACCACAAAACTTTTTCCTCTTCAGTTTTTATTTCTTTCGTTCTAGACTAATCTGCCTAACTAATCTTAGTAAGAGATGTAATTGTACCTAATAATCTCTGTAATTCTCATCACCTTTCAAGAACTACGAGTGCAAAATTTATCTAAGAAAACCAAAAAAAAAAAATAGCGAAATCATCCCTAAAAGAACCAGATCTGTAGAGAATCATTAAAAGAGCAGCAGAACCTTTAACTAGTTCATTGAATCAATCAATTTCTTAAACTACATATGTTGCTATATCTAATAGCAGATACCGAAAATACTCTATTTTAATAAGAGCCACTGAGATGTGAGCCACCATAAATTTTCCAAATAGAGAACACCAACCCTACCTTAAAATCAAATATAATGCTACTGATTCCCACTTGTTAACTGCTCTCCGCGTAGGCAATTTCCATCGGGAATGGCAGGATCTTACGTCTAAATGAAACTGCACTACCCCTCCTTGATGGTTCTAAAGAATGAACACAATTTTGTAACAAGAGGAAAGGACGGCTGAAGTAGTAACAAATTTCAGCAATCCATAAATGACAGTGAGAGTCGGCCGA